CCTAATTTAATTTTCAACGCGTGTAGTTAATTTGTATCGGGATGTATCCCTCTGTATTTCATCAGATACATTTTTCAGAATAAATAATATTATAATTCACAATAAATTGGTAGAATGGCCCGGTAATAAGTTCACAACTGGATTATCACCCGGGAGGACGTGTGTTTGAATCCCCAAACTACTACTACTGATAATAATAATAACAATAAACAAACTGTGAATTAATGTTGGATCGGATCAAAATGAATTCAGTAGTTCGGTCTAACCGATGCTCTTGCTTGTGTTAGTGCTGGGTCACCTACCTAGTTCAAACTGAACGGCAAGCTCGACTCAGTATAACTGAGCATCTCCAACAGTGTGTGGACACTGTCCACAAAACAGAGAAATAGGTCAACAACATGTCACTCACGAATCAACCACCAGCCTCTTCTGTTGCTGGGGGCAAAGAAAGCATCGCTTTGATCGAACTATTACGTTCTCGGTGATCTTGTCCCGCAGCAGTTCAGGTTTTCCATAGTTTGCCGAAGCAATTGTGTTTCAGAGATATAAGTCTAGTTTGTGCAACCAGGAGGATTTACTAGTTACCTTGGTGTTGCCTCGATAAAAACCATCTATTTGTTGTGATCGATAATAATTCTGTAGTATGCGCCTGATATGATACAGCTAACTGTATGCCGATAAAACTTGTATAACGTAAGTCTATGGTATTTTTCACTCAGGTTCCTTACGGGAGATTGTTTTCCAATTTGCTGTATAGTGGGGGCGTTATGGATGGCGTAATGTTGTTGAATGCGTTGGTCAGTTGACAATAGCAAATTAGCTGTTCCTCACATCTACTATTCTTTGTCTTCCTCACAATCAGATCGTTGAGACGCTAAAAAATTCATCGTTTTGGCATATCCAAATGTCTGCGGTATTGTGTTCTATCTTTTGTTGTTTGACGTTACACGAAAAATACCGACTATTTGTAGTCGAAAATGGCATCAAAGTTGCTTCGCGGAAAATGACGTAGTTTGGAGGTTAGAAGGAAGTACTTCGAGGAAACCGCTTTCTGTTTTGCAGAAGAAGAGTTCGTAGTCACCAAGATTTGAGCAGCTCTGGAAGCCATTGACCCTAACGTAAAGTAGAGATTTACATTAGGCCTCCATTGGATAACCATGCTGTTTAGCAAAATGGTTTGAGATCCAAGTTGCATGGTCCGAACCTCAAACTTTAAGATATAGAAGCATACCATATCCGGTCAGTCCAACTTTTTTCTTTAGTCTCATATGTGATGCTGATCCTGCTTTCACGCTACCCGTGGGTTCCATTTGTCTTAGCCTGTAAGTGATTGGAATGAACAGAACTGTCAGCGTCGCCTCGGAGATAAACAGATAAAGCCTACACACGCACACACGAGCATCCGTGCATGAGTTCAGATCCCACTTGAGCCACTAATCTATCCATCGTTCATAATAATATTGGACAGCTAATCACTGAATCTTTGGTGATACTGTCCATCCGAATGCATGAAGCTACTAGCGCCGTGACCTGCTGGGAATTTCGATTCGTGTTTCTCCATTGTGTTAGTGTCCTATGCGGTTCTTCTTGTTTATGGTTGGTCGTGCGGTTTTTCCCTATTCTATGGATTTTTCTTGGAGCTGTCTTTCATGTGGTTATAGCAACTCGATGTATAGATCCGACTCAGCGCATATTTATGGTTACTACTATAATATTTAGTTTCCCAACTGAGTTAACTAAACTGTCCTGGATTCGTGTATGTCCGATTTTTCCGTTTATTTCTTCCATCGGCATGTCATTTTCCTCCTCCGGTTCAATTAGCCTTAGTTCGTGCCCCCCCCCCCAGGTGTCACATTGCATCCATGTTTCATTTTATCTTGTTCGATAGCAACACAAAATGCATCAATATCAGGGTTATATTTTGATGAACGGTCTCCGAAAGATCGCAATACACAATCCTGTTTATTTTTTCCCCCGGTAGAAACGTGCTCACAGTCCTCCAGATTTGCAGTGTATTTCTCCCGCCCCGTCGGAAGAGAAACAACATGTTGTGTCTAATCGAACTGGCAAATTAGACACTGAGGATTTGTCCAATATGGTACTACCACTTGACGTACCGTTTCGACGTCGGGGCTACACGGAATCTCAGATTAATCGTCGCTNTCCCAGCCTCGTCGTCTGAAACCGTGTCATCCGAGTCGGCCAATGTGCCACTGATTTCCAAAGAGAAACCGCTTGGTGGTCCCGGATTCGCACCACTCAATCCGGCCACCTATATTGATGCGCTGATACAGAGTCACTTAAATCGCGTACGTTCTTCGGGCACCCACGTTGGTCGCTATTTTTTTTGTTTTGTTTTGAAACCAGTAATACAATGTCCTCGCACTTTACACTCAATGACTATCCTTGGTGCATCGTCCGAGATACGGATTCTTTATGACTCGTTTCATCTAACAAACGATGTTTGCGTAGTTTGGCGCGAGTTGAATGAAGTGAGCTTGTGAGCAATGATTCGTTGGAGAATTCATTGTTCCATCGAGTTCAGGTTAGTCGTCTTCGCCGGTTAGGGCACGTATTGCGCATGCCCAGCCATCGTTTACCGCACCGCATCTTATTCGCAGTTGCAGCTCCAGGTTGGAAGAAACCGCCTGGTGGTCAACAGATGATGTGGAAACGAGGCATGAAGAAATGCACAGAGCGACTAGGTAGAATCGGTGTCCCCCGTCTTCCAGGTTGGGGTCCGAAAGACTCTACAACTGGTTGGATGGATATATTGAAGGATATGGCGGTCTCATTCTTGTTGTCATTTCTTATCAGGTCAAAATGCTTGAAACAGTGTGTATACACTCATTATGCACTCTGTGTGTTGACCATAGAGGTTAACTTTCTTTGCCTCCCTCCAATTAGGCCCAATCCCTCCATCTTGTGCTTCATCACTTGACTTGTGTACATTGTGAGCTTAGCAGCGATCAGTGAAGTTCGCTTCACTGTATCTCGCTGTTCGATGAGGATGATTAAACGATCTATGACATGTATATTTTTATCGGCGTTAAAGGTTGTGTCAATAACTTTTATCATTCTCCACAATCCATTTTTTTCACTTGTCCGAGTTCGAACCAGTATATGTGTCTGGTATTATAATGGAGCAAGTTATCAGATTGAATGATTTTACAAACAGGTGCTCGTGAAGAGCTCTTTCACTCCCCGAAATCTTTCTCATTCCAAAAATTGATGAATCTAACGTATCCACGGCTTTAAAAAAGCAAAACACGCAAATACCAACGGTCTGTACGCACGTACTGGGTAGACTTGATTGCCAGGTCGCATTTCAGTCCGATAACGAGGCCAGACAAATCACATCTGGATTTATTCCATTAGTCGAAGCTCGTTTTAATCCCATTTACGGATTCCATTCCCTCGGAATACCGATTATCGTCACACGACTGGCTGTCGTATAGCGATCTCGACATGATGCGCAGCTGTTTCTCGCTCGCTCACTCAGCACACACCCGTGGGTGTTCATTCCTCTGAATGTTTCTGTTGTCATCCATTCCACCAACTACTGGGTGGTGGCGGCGGCGCAGTGGTTTAGTCGCTGTCACCGGCGTGCTCTGGATCCTAAGGTGTGAGATTCGAAACCCGCCACCCGACTTTGTTCTCGTCCAGTTCAGTCCTCTAACCGAGCTGGGCCTTATATGTTTTCCCACTCCAAGTGTCGAGTTACCACCTTGCATCACTGAACTGCAGGTCTCCGTGACTGTGGGATCCAACCCATCTGCTGTTCATCACACACTGGGGTGTTTACTAAAAGATCCTGATCGGTGTTCCACTGAATGGTATTTCGTCCTTGAGTTCAAAAAGCAACCTTGTAATGAAACATACTCACCCAACTAATTACTTCCATGGATTGTCGTTTACATATATATTTACTGCATGTGATTAAAATTTTTATTGATTGTCAGGTAATCGCCACTATCTATAATTACTTGTATGTGCCTACGTATATAATTAACAGATTTTTTTTCAAATGTTTCGTCCGTTTTTCCCAATTTACGTTTCAGCTTACCACACAAATTTATCCATAATGTCATTCCGGCAAGAGCATGGATGTCCCTAGGTTTACTCACACCAGTGATCACAACAAATCTGTTTGTCAAATCTGACAATTCACTATACACGAATAAGACTGATTCCGGCTGTCGATGATTTGTTTATCAGTTTCAGTTTGAACAACCATTAACCATGATTTGTTTATACAACTGTGGAGCCCCCTTTCCAATCTGCACACCTTCAAACATAGAATTAACAGATGAATTGTCTCAATTGTTACCCTCACCAATACCAACCAATGAAGTCAAGTCTTCTCAATGCGTTGTAGAAGAAAAATAATGTTTCAGGCCCATTGATAGTCGTTGTTTACTGCCCTGATTGAACTACACGGTCCGCTTCTATCTCGGTTTACTTGTGCAACAAATTTAAACCATACACATTTTTCCGTCACAGGCTCAGCTTCAGAATCCGCGTGCCAGCGAGGCCGAGCCCGATGCCCGAACGGTGAATCCGAAAACCGAGGACTTGATCAAAGATCCAGCCAGTCCAAATGGTGGTAGCCCGTCGACAGACGGAGATTTGCGGCGTTCACAGCCAGAAAACAACGGTACAACTCGCTCGTCCAATATCATTCATCCACACGCCGCAGTGGAATCCAGTGCATCGGAGCGGAACCATGTTGCACCCGGAAAAAGTACACTTGAGGAACAGATTAACAAGGTAATAATCCTACGAGGATGGTTCCAAAACAGCTCTGTTTTGATCATACCTTTGTAATACTGTGGATACTGTGCATTCTATTTTTCTGGTGCCATGTTATCAGCCGCATCTCATGTGGTCTGTTTGTGTTGCCAACTGTATAATCCGATGGACATCGTTGCTTCACTCAGTCCAATCCCGTTTCATGTGTATCTCGTCCGTGTTCGTCGTCAGATATTTTCCATGCCCTTCTGTTGTAGTGGCATCATCTCGTTGATGTTAAAACAATTACTATCGTATCTGACAGTTTCTTGTATTTAGACAGTCAAACACAGTGTTCAGCTACTATCTCTATTCTGCCATAGGTGTCAAATGCAGTCATGGTAAAATGTACTCAAGCTTATTTTCTCACGAATGCATACGCCTTGTCCAAGGTCAGTTGAAGTTTGTCTGTCTGCTTGTCTCAAGTCGCAACATTACACGCTGCTCCACAGAGCGTGATTGTTGGTGAGGCAGGATAGCGGGATAAGAGATGTTCAAGGGCGGTCAAACAAAAACCTGACTTGAGGGTATGAAAAACCAAAACAGGAGATTTGGTCATATGGGTCGCTTTAGGCTCCCGGTTGGAGAACCACCTCTGACTCGGAGGGCTGTCGGTCCCTTTGGGGCATCCTCCATTCTTTGATCTCCACCAGGCACTCAGCTCTTTTCTGTGACTCCAAGAAGCTGTTTGGATGCAACAGCGGCCACATCCTGGTTAACCGCTCGACAGACGGGGCAAACTAGGTTGAGGATACCGGGAGCTCAACCCTCGGTGAGTCGGTGTCTGATGTATGTGTTGGTCGGACGAATTCGCTTTCACAACTTAAAGGTCAAAACAATGACTCCGTACTCATAGGGGATGCATAGACCCCTGTTCAGCTAGAAACTGTTAATGGCTTATAAGCTCCCCCCCCTTGAGGCCGCGCGCTACCTTCCTGCTACCTTAAAGTTTGCACTTGGATGTGAAAAGGCTATATATGCTCCTCGATCCAAAGCCAGGTGACGCTGGGAGACATTTCTTGTACCTAACTCCTAAGAGGTTTCATAGACAGTTTATCCATGAAGCCGACTAATCCTCTCCCAGAAGCCAGCCACCGTAAAGTGAAGTAAAAAAAACATTAGGCTCCCTGAATAAGTGATTTCAATACGCGTGGTTCATGGTTATAAAAACTGAACTGACCGATTGCTTCAGGTTCGAAGATCTCACATGGAGGTTTACCGATGTCGTGCAAACGAGGCATGAGGAAGGGCACAGGGTGAATAAACAGTGATGTCTTGCGTCTTCCAGGCGGTGGTTCAAGAGACCCTGTAAGTAGTTAGTTGGAAACACTGAAAAATATTGCAACTAACCAAAAGCTGTAGCGTTGTTGTTATCATTTCCTAATTAGACCAGATTGAAAAAATGAGCATGACTGATTGGCTGGTTTACCATCTGACTGTTGACGACTGACAGCTGAAATTCGCTTTTTTCACACCCACTCAAAATAGGTCCTCGTTTCTATCCACTTTACACATTCGTACCTCTTTTTTGTACACTATAAGCTTGGCAGCGACCAGTGAGGTTCAGTTTACTGTATTCTCGTCGAAGATCCTCGTTTCGATAGCCGGATCTTTGCACCCTGTCATTACGGTATTTTTGAATTTTTCACTATGTTAGTTTCAGGCCTAGTGCACAGAGCGATGGATTTCTGGTAGTCAATCGGTTTATTTTACTGGTTGGAGCCCTGATGTCCTAGGTTCAAACCTCACCATAGTCCGGCTCAGTTCCACGTCTACTCTCTCCTGGGGGGGGGGGG